TTCATAATTAGCGTTGCATGGTCTTCGGCGGCTACTGTATATATATATATATCCATTTTTACCACCACCTCTCCTCTTATTGACTTGATTGTATACGTATGTTCTGTCTTGTAATGTTAGTAAATGCAAAACTGAATCTGAAAGCCGGCACCTGGTTCCCTTTGCTGCGCCGCCATGTAGCCTGACCCTGTCGCCCTCCATGACGGAGAATCCACTGAAACAGTTGAGCGCAGTCTCTGACGATCCGCTGCTGTCCAGTCGCGGAGTTGATTCTTCGTATGCACAATACGAGGAAGAAAATATGCAGTCCTCTGTGGCTTCACAGACGGGGTCACTCAAAAGTCCTACACCGGATTTCCCCTCCTCTGTCTTCCGTCCACTAGACGTCACTGCGGTGTCAGCTGATTCCTCAGAGCAATCGTATCATCGGTGGCAGCAGTCAAGAGAATGCAACCCATGTGTTCCGGACACTTCAGTGCCCAATACCTCTCGTCTGGATGCGACTGACATGCTTCCATATGCAGTAACGGCGTCAGAGGCAAAGCACGTTATTCATTACCGGGCCGGTACTCAACCTTTTCCCGGTGAAGCTTCGGCCAGTCAAATGCTCTTCCGTGCCCCAACTTCGGACCCTTATATGGAGGCCAAGCGGACAGAGACATATTCCGTTTCGGAAGATCACCGTTGTGTAAGCACTGTCTGTCCCTTTTCAATACTCGCCTTCTTCGTTTCAGCATTTCGCTTCCGCGTCAGCTATTTATCTATCTACCCATTTGAGAGCTCTGCCTTTCAAACAAATACACCACTACCTTGAAGGCTTTAAAAGAACAGACTTTTATCGTTGTTTTTATTGCTGCGACCGATCGATGGAACGTTTTGGCTTTTCATGCACCGTACGTGCAGGCCCTTACATGCTTATCAGTCTCGAAGTCATTCGAATTATCAGGCTGCTAGGCGCAGTCTATTTCTTTTACGTACACGTCCGTCCGGTCCGTGCTGTTTGTTTGATCTCGCGTTTTTTAGCTGTTGCGGCACGTGACCTTAGCTCTGTCACCCTGCCTCTGTAGTAGTCGTTGTAAGGTGGTGTGCCCAGACCTGCTGACACTTTTGCCATTAAAGCACAAAATAGGCGATTTTTAATTGGTCTTATTTGCTTTCGTTTTTATTTATAAGGTGTTTCTCTCTAGGCCACCTGTAGCGTTCTATCCAATAGGGAAACTTGGTGTCGCTTACAGTCGGAGGTCTTCGTGTTGTCATTTTGATAGCTTCTGCCATTTCGACGTTTATACTATCACCTCAATTTCAACTGTTTTCCACTTTCTCCTTAAAGGTGGTACTACTAAATTTATCTCTATTGAATTGACTGTCCAACGGCTATTCCTTTTACCCGCACCTGCGTATACCGTTTTAAAACAGTCTACGTGCATACTTGGAAGACCCCTTTTTTAAAATTTCAGCATGTGGCAAGTAAGGCGAACATGTTTTCTCCCAAGCAGCTCACTTATTTTTTTGCGATTGTAGAGCTACAACCATAGAACGCGTTTGAGAGGGTAATCGTCCCTGTTCTGATTTTCTAGCCAATAACGACGGTAAATGATCCAAAAATGGTTACCTCAGCTGTTAGTCTTCTAGACTTGTATTTCGTTAGTTGGGCTATCAAAGTTCTTTTCGCTAGCCGCTCCAGAATGCCATCGTTAAAATGCACAGTAATATCTGGATATCGTTTATTCGAAACAGCGCGAAGTGTATTAAG